AATAATAATAATAATAATAATAATAATAATAATAATAATAATAATAACAATAATAATTTTGCCTTCCACGGTGTGCTCCAGCTATTTATCCCAAACGTTTGTAATAAAATGAGATTGGAAATCTGCATTCCTTTTTGCAGTGCTCACTGTTTCCACATGCATTCTTTGCACCTTGGCAGTCTGACTTTATGTTCACCTGTATGCACATATGATAAAGCTCTGAAATTAATTGCTGTAGTGGTTACGTTGCTTTCTATCATTGCTACTTTTACCTTTATCATGGTTCCTGTTGTTGATGTATGCTTCCTGTGTTTACCATGGTTGCAACATTTCATTAGTAGCTTAAATGTTGCTCCCACCTTAAAATCTATCATCCACCACATTGTTATTGCCAACTGTAGGAAATTAAAAACAATAAATTATGAGTGGTCTCCAGTGGCATCAATTATATGTTAGATTTCCTGAAAATCAAACAGTTTCCGGGTTGAAACATGTTGATGGCTAGACAGACTGCAGGTATGTATGTTCTCTTGTGCAAAATGCAAGGAATCCATAACGACAAGCTAACTCAGTGGAAGTAGTGGGCTCTGGATATGCTAAACACCAGTCATACCATTGAGTATGTGTATTGCAGTGTGGCCCTGGTGGCTGTCTCATGGAGCTGTGTATCCAGCTGGCGATCATCATGGTTGGAAAGCAGATTATGAACTCCATTCTGGAGATGATTATGCCGTGAGTAGTATTTATTGGTTAATTAATGTTACGAGAGAATGAAATGAAGTTATTTCTGGCGCATAAGCTGTAAGATGAGGGAAAAATTGTCTCTCTTTTCCCTTTCCTGTATCCATTTCACTTCTTTATTTCCTTAATTTCTCTTATATTAATTTCCCACCCCTTTTCAGAACAGGATGCAACTTATCGTGTAAGAATTTATGGTTTATTTCCTTGTATGTTGTTAAAATCCTGACATGTTTCAGTCCCATAAGATCACCTTCAGGGATGTACCATATTAAAGGGAATAATTTACCGAATGTAACATGGTTTAACATTATAGCAGCACGGTAGGTAATTGGCATCCCTCTTTGTCCCTATTCTTTCTCTCCCTGGAAGAAACACATACGTTGGATTAAACACCAGTGTCGTATGATTTGTACAATATTGATATGAGGAAGTAGTGTCCCAGTGAACGTAGTACAGTTGGGGACTTGTGCTGTGATCCATAAGTGAACCACATGAGAGTAATGATCCTTATTATTAATATTATGCAGACTGTTCTACAAGTGGCTCAACACCCTCAAGGTGAAGACTGGCTTGGGAGAAGGTCAGAAATCGCACCGCAGCTACTATCAGTGGGTAAAGGACTTCAAGCTGGTGGATTGGGGGCCACAGGGGCTCTTCCCTGAATACTTGGAGATGGGTATGTTTGATAAATGAATTCTTGTATCTGGCAATGTCTTCTTCATCATGTGTGCCTTTGTGGTGAAGGATGGTTTGCCCAGCTGATCACGTACAATCACACCAAAAGTGCCTCATTTCCTCAGACATTTCCAAAACTTTTCTCTCACTTCTTGCCATGAAAAGTATTTCCATAATCCTGCATTGAAATGATACAAACACTGCCATCATATAAGAGTCATACCAAGATGGAGCAGTTACTGAACAGTGGTGAATACCTCCATAGACCTTAAACTGAAAGACCTTAAACAATGAAACCTGTACCTGGTGGTCCCAAGATAAAGCACTGGACTTTTCTCCAGATGGTTCATTCCCCAGTCACATCTGCATTTCTGCTGACAAGTTGAAATCCTCCCATCTACCAAAGATAAAGTCTTCAGAATGTTAATGACTGTGGTGATGGTGTCACTGATGATTACAGCAATGATGATGGCAGTAAATTAGTTCCTTATTTATTTACATGCTGAACTCAATAGCCAGGTGCCAGCTACAGTCAGCAGGTGCAGTCAAGCAACCATTTAGCTACACCCCTGTTTTATTCATAGGTGGAAAATTCTCCACTCATTTAAGCAGGAGGTGAAATCTAATGTTCTAAGATTCATAAGCTAATTACTTCTATTTGGCATAAGGAAAAATTGCCTGATCAGTGGAAGGAATCTATTATTATACCAGTTGGCAAGAAGGGTGATAAAACTGAATGTAGTAATTATCAGGGGATATCACTGCTATCAACTGCATACAAAATTGTATCCAATATTCTTTCAAGGTTAAGTCCATACATAGATGAAATTATTGGGGATCATCAGTGTGGGTTTCGATGTAACAGATCAACTACAGATCAGATCTTTTGCATTCGTCAGATACTGGAGAAAAAATGGGAGTACAATGAGACCGTACATCAGCTAGTTGTAGACTTTAAGAGAGCCTATGATTCAGTTAGGAGGGAAGTATTGTACAGTATTTTGTTAGAGTTTGGGATACCTAGTTAAGCTGATTAAAATGTGTTTAAACAGAACATATAGTAAAGTCCATATAGGTAAATAGTTGTCTGATAGATTTCCTATCCAGAATGGTCTAAAACAAGGAGATACTTTATCGCCACTCCTTTTCAACTTCGCTTTAGAATGTGCCATGAGGAAGGTCCAGGAAAACCATGTGAGACTGAAATTAAATGGGACACATCAGCTATCGGTCTATGCCGATGATGTGAATCTACTGGGTGATAATATAGATAACATTAAGAAAAAACACAAACTTTAATTGACACTGGTCAGGAGGTTGGTTTAGAAGTAAACACAGAGAAAACTAAGTATATGTTGCTGTCTCGTCACCAAAATGCAGGGTAAAATCATGACACAAAGATGGGAAACAGATGTTTTGAAAATGTGGCGCAGTTCAGATATTTGGGAATGATGATAACAAATCAAAACCTGATTCAGGAGGAAATTAAGAGAAGACTGAATCCATGTAATACTTCCTACCATTCAGCCCAGAACCTTCTGTATTCTGGTCTCTTGTCTGAAAACAAAAATTAGAATACAAAAAAAAAAAAAAAAAATGTAATTTTGCCTGTGGTTCTGTATGAATGTGAAACTTTGTTTCCGACATTTAGGGAGGAACATAGACTGAGGGGGTTTGAGAACAGGGGGTTGAGGAGAATATTTGGACCAAGTAGAGGTGAAGTGACAGGAGGTTGGAGAAAACTGCATAATAAGGAGCTTCATAACTTGTACTCTTGTACAAGATGTACAAGCATGTAGCAAGAAAGGGGGAGAAGAGGAATGCATATATGATATTGGTGGGAAAGCCAGAAGGAAAGAGACCACTGCAAAAACGAAGGTATAGGTGGTTGGACTATATTAAAATGGATGTTAGAGAGATAGGATGGAATGGAATGGATTGGATTGGTCTGGCTCATGATAGGGACCAGTGGAGGGCCCTTGTGAACATGGTAGTGAACCTTCCGGTTCCATAAAATGCTGGGAAGTTCTTGAGTAGCTTGAGATTTGCAGCTCCTCAAGAAGGGCTCTGCTCCATGAGTAAGTAAGTACCTGTCAGTAAGATAGAACCATTGTCAGCAGAACCAGGAATACTTTCATCAGCTGGCTTGTTAGTGCATGGCTGACTTTCTAAATTTAACAATATCAGCATAATTTGAAATGAGTTTTGCTCCCTCAACCAAGGAGTTGTTCAGATTAAGTGCACAGACCCCATTTAGATGTATAGTCTCAAGTTGGATGCACAACGTTCATTTGATGACTTCTTTGGGGGGGGGCAAGTGACCTTTGAGGAGAAACCACTTTGTGAAGCTTAGAAGTAGAGGGCAGGTGTGTTGTAACCAGCATTTCATTACATCACTATGATCGTAGACCCTTAATGTAGATCATACACTTGAAAGTAAAAGTATCTAAACCCGTATAATATGTATACCCTTCCTCACTGAGCTGGATACACCTGAGGTGATATTGGGAAGTGCAAGGCCCATTGAACTTAATAGATTTTTGTTTGCCTTAAAAATCTTTACAGCACATGCCTCAATGTGTCTTCGGTATAGAGCTTGATGGCTTTTGGAGTTTGTGAACTCCTGTCAACCTGCAGCTTACACACAATTGACACAGCAGACATGGGAGCACAGTGTACACATTTCCATATACAACTAGAGCAAAATGATTGATGATGATGGTTACAACAATGACAATAGTATTAATGTTTATAATTGGCTGCACCATAGGTCAAGCGGTAAGTCGCTGGCTTCCCATTGCAGCAGCCCGGGTTCGATCCCGGGTCTGGTCAAGTGGGATTTGTGGTGGACAAAGTGGTTCTGGGGCGGGTTTTCTCCGAGTACTTCGGTTTCCCTTGCCAATCTTCATTCCACCAATTTCTCCACAATTACCCTCACCTATCATCTGGGGCTGGCACAATAGGCCAGAAGTGGCCGCAGTACAAGGGACTTAGTCCCACCCCACTAGCAACAAAAAAAAATATTTTTATAATTACACCAGCATTCAGTAATCATGGTTGGTGACCACCTGTGTGGAGTGGGGTAGACCTCACTACTAGAATCAAAGAAAGAATGAACATGACTGGTGTGGATTCAGGTCAGTACCTACTGCTTCACCGTATGTAGTTCACACTGTTCCATCATCAGTATGAGGAGAAAGCTTGTGGATGCAATGATAGCCACACTGCAGTTGACAACTTATGATAGTGCTGGAAGACATGCATATGGAAGGTTGCTGTTAGGCACATTGGTGGGGAGGATTCTTTCCATGACCCAACTTTAACTGCTTGTCATATCAGTCCACAGTTTCGACCTGTCACTTGGTAACGTTCATAGTAAAAAGTTAGTTTCTATTATGTGTTTCAAATAGCACGGAATTTTAAAAATCCTGACATTCTCTTCAGATATTGGAAGATGCAGCTGACCAATGGACTGTGAGTCCTTAAGTTGCAAATGTGTGAGGAGAATGTCTACAAACTTGTTGAAGCAAGCTTGTAAGTTGTCCATTTTATGACTGTTAATTGAGAGATTTCTTTTTGTTTTAGTTTTGCAGTATGGATTTGTCACTATCTTCGTTTCTGCCTTCCCGCTGGCTCCATTTTTTGCCCTGCTGAACAACATCCTGGAAATGCGCCTTGATGCTAAGAAACTGCTGACGTATTTTCGTAGGCCTGTCACGCAGAGGGTTCGTGACATCGGTGTCTGGTACCGCATCCTTGACTCCATCGGAAAACTGTCTGTCATCACTAATGTATGTTAATGGTGATCTCAACCTGTAGTTTCTGTGCTATTATAGCAAGATAAGTTTGTGCAGGTTGTAGTACTGAGACTTGAAGGTAAATGGTGGATTTACCCATTTAGCATGAAATGTAATCTCTCAAATATTCAGTGTATATAGATTGTGTACCTATAGTAACAGTGAAGTCAAGGGTTACAGTTCACAGCCTAGACCTGACTCACAGTGTGGGCAGCAGAGCCAAAAACCTTGGAAAATATTCTGACTGCAAGTGGAGATTCAGTGTCCACCCCTGTTCTTGGAAAGAATCTCTTCCCCCACTGCTAATGAATCCACCTCTCTGTGTGTGTCTGTCTGTCTGTCACCATACAGTTTGTTGTCAAACAAAATGTGGTTGAGCAAGGAATACAGAAGATGGTTTATTAACATTCGGAAGAACATTGTTTACAGTAGGGAAGGAAACATTCATGAAATGGTTGGAAGATGATGTGGGCGTAAAGTTCTTGGTGCCTGGGAAGACCATCCAGTGTCAGTATGATCAGGCACTTCAGCTGATATATGCTGCTTGGAGAATGGCGAGGGAGAGATTCTCCAAGGAGATGGGATAGTGCAATCTGTTTAGCAGCTGGTTGTGGGCTGGACAGCTGAGGGGTTGGAGTCCAAGTGTCAGAAAAGGCGGGATTTTTCTCCTCTTTGCATCATCCAGACTGGTTATAGGGCTCACCTAGCCTCCTATTCAGTGGCTACTGGAGGCTCTTTCTGTCAGGATAAAGTGGCTGGGATGTGAAGCCGTGTAGTCTGGTGGACATTACCGACATTCTGGAGGAATGTAATGTTCCATTTTTCAGGGTCAGAAAGTATGTCAGGCAACCACCAACCAAGCAGGGAGTAGTATACTAATTGTGGAAAATATGGTACTGATACAGTTCTGAGTAGGAGCAAGAAGAGGAGTACCAGACTACACGGCATCAAATCATTGAAGACATTGTTCTTGTTACAGTATTTTTCTCACTTGTGGGACAAATGGATATAAGTTAGATCCAAATAAAATTACAGAGATGAAATTTAACATTTTCAATTGTTGACATATGATCATTGAAACTGAATGTTAAATCATCAAAAACCTTAAATGAAGGATCATTAAATGGGGGTTACAATGTAATATTGACAATGAGAATATGTCCCCCCCCAAAATAGAGACAAGTTCCACTAGTCATACAGTATTACATCTGAAACAGCTTATATTTGGGGACACTGCAGGAGTTTTGAGTATAGTATTCATTTCAGGTAATAAGTGGAAATTCTTGAAAGGCAGCGACTCATTCTAAACAGGCTTATATACATAATTTTGTGGATAATATTTTTTCTATCTAAGACGTGACAGAAGTGCACTGACAAGTAGTTCTGATTGTTACAGGGTTTCATCATTGCTTTCACATCAGACTTCATTCCTCACGTGGTGTATACCACAGCAGTTTCACAGCACAATAGCCTGCAGGGGTTCCTCAATTTCTCATTGTCTGTCTTCAACACTTCAGACCTGGAACCTGGCTCTGAACCTTACAATAGCTCATATGTTAATGTGACCGAGTGCAGGTGAGTCCATGATGAGTGATCTCGATGCTGGTCTGGTGTGCTGTGAATATTAGCATAGATTGGGGAGTTGCTGTTCACCTTCCCCTCCCTAGCCATCCACATGGTTAATCTCTGAAACTGCAGGTAAAAGAAAAAGATAAAGTTGTCTCTGTGCTTAACCAATTAAGCACTACACTATCAAGGCATATGGGGGAGTGGGTGTATAGATCCACATTTTGCTTGACCTCGGCACTAGTTGGAGGTGCTGCTGTACTACCAGGGAAAGAGCCCCCAGTACCTGTTAGATAGGAGGTTGGGTGGGATTTAGAGCTGGTGTGGATGGCGTGGAGAGAAGAAAATTCTTGACTTGACTGGGACTTGAACTACAACCCCTCACTTGTCCAGCCTGTAGCCAGTTGCTATATCAAATACACTATCCTGGCTCTTACTACAGAACAGATTTAAATTAAATTTTGGATTGGCAGTCTGCACTAAGGCATGTATAATGAATTTAATTTTGGTTTCTGTCAGTGACTGGGAACACCAAGACATAGGTGGGTGGACAGTATTGAAATGGATCTTAGGAGAGATAGGATGCGATGGTATGGATTGGATTGAGCTGGCTCAGGATAGGGACCAGTGGGGGGTCACACTTTCCTGCTATACATGGATCAGTAGAGCTTCAAGTATAATGACATGGCTTATTAGAATAATTCATACTGCCTCAAGGAGAAGTTTAAATTTTTCTGAAAAACAGACAGACATTAAAAGATAATTTATTAAAATAAATGCAGTAAAAGCCTTTAATGGTTTAAACAATTTTTGTGAAGCATTATTACAGCAAACTAAAATGTTTTGGATTCTTTTTTATTTTATTTATTATTATTATTCATGCATCTTTTCCCCTTTATTAGTGCAGGTAATGAGGAGTATAGTGTGTTGACATACATACCTTCATTTTAAAACTTTTTGTTATAACTAACAATTTCCCATTTTAAATTAAATTATAGCAAGTATAATTGTAGTTTCTGGAGATCTGATATGCCTTGTGGCTTTCAGATATGCTGACTACAGGGAACCACCAAACGTGGCGAACAAATATGACAGAACAGCAATGTATTGGTACATTCTAGCTGCCAGACTGGCCTTCGTTGTGGTGTTTGAGGTAAGTTTCAGGAGGGAGGGAAGTGGTTTGTTCTTCACATCGAACATAAGTAGTGTACATGATAGGTAAGCCTGGAGGAGATATACTAATACTTCTTGGAAGTGTTTTGCTGGGATGAAGAATATTTCATACCAGAAGTAGGAGAATCCTAAATGGAAATCATTTTCTATTACAAACTATTGGCTGTCATTTGGAAACCAACAAGTTCTGAGAATGTTTAAGACTCTGGTTACCGATACTTGTCATGCCTTGCCCATATCTGACAGTAATACCTGAAGGTTCATATTTTCATTATTAAATCCAGCCGTAGGATGCATTCCAGTTCATAACCCCCAGCTCTTTCCAAATGAAAGTTAGGCATATAACATAATATTATCCTCTCGTTCTTTATTTTCAACAAGTGATCACTTTCTGAAAATTTTCCCTCTTTTGGTTGTTTGTGCATTTCTTAGCTCCATCATCTGAGTTATGTGTCCAACTCAGTGTAATCACCTTCATTTGTTATGGGCAGATTGTGTACAGTTAATTACAATTTTTAGAATATTCTAAATAAACTTGTGGCATAATATTAGACCCCACTAAAGCATTTGAATATATGTGACAAGAGGTTCTGCTGAGCAGTGTGTACAGAATAGTATCAAAACATCTTGTTACCATAAATGAGATCTTTACCTAAATAACCATTCTAGTAACAGCCAGATAATGACATCACCTTATCCTTTTAAGAGCCGGTTGCATAAGTTTATTATTTTAGGATTTCATAGTTTTGACATTGTACTACTATCTTACCAGCCATTGTGATATATACACATAAATGTCCTGTGTTTTATGTCTGCAGAATGTGGTGGCAGTGGTGATGATTGTGGTCCATTGGTGCATCCCTGACATTTCAAATAGGCTGCGTGACCAAATCCGGCAGGAAGCTTACATCACCAATGAGATCATTATCCATCAGGAGACGCTGAGAGCTAGGGGTTGTAACTTTGGAGGAGTCACAGGCAGTGGGGATGGTGACAGGAATCCTTGTGCACATTTGGGTCACTTCTCGGGTTCAGATGTGGACCTTTCCATGCTGGCAGGACATGAACTAGAGACTACTGATATCACACGGAAGAGGTTGGCATGGGAAACCCACTCTTCTGATCACTCAGAAACTGTATGATACTTGATCTTGTGTCTGATGTTTTCTGAAATTCATGAGAAGTTTTTGCCTTATGTGAGCCTACAGAAGGAAAAGACATATTGGTAGGAAGATGAGTAATACATTTTGGCTTCTGCCAGTCATTGTGATGTTCTCCAGTTTCTTAATTTTCTTTGCCTCCTTTGGTTCCAGTTATCTGTCATGCGGTGGCTTCTTTTATGATTTTGATTCTAGGGTTACTGTTTCCCCATTTGTATTTGGTGCAACATCCCTGGGTGTGTCATCAAGTTTTCCATATAGTTCCAGTTTCTGGTTTCAGAAACTGTTTCTTCCATTTTAAATTTCGAATTCATTTTTATGTCAGTTTGATGAACTTATTTCACAATATTCCTAGCCCTTAGTGTTGTTGTTGACATTTCATGCTCATTATCCTGTGATGTTGCAGGCAGAAAATCACTCTATTCAGACAGCCAGTCTGTTCTTTACTACTTCTGATGGCCTGGCATGATCCCTGCCTGTGAAATTTCTCAACTAACGTCTTATGACTTTGCTGTATATGGGGTATTTTCTTCTCACCTGTATTCCTTGACCCACATCCACAGGCTCCTCAAGCTCTCTCTTTTGAATTGTGGTTTCTGTCCATAAAATCCAAATGTACCATGACCTTTCTGTGCCCACAGCCACTTCCTTAATACTCTTCTTCCACATGCGGAAACAAGATCTCTGTGCTTACAAACACATTGAAGGGATTTCTTATCACCCTGATCTTCCTGAGAAAATTCACCTAACATGTTTTCTTCACACCTATCTTCAGTCACCTTACCATGTCAGCCTAGACTTGATCTGTTGCGTAAAGTTGAAAAGCAATATTGCTAACACATTGTTGCCTCAGGAGATTCTAAGTAGGAACTATGTCTGATAAATATTTATCTATATGGATCTTGGCATAAGTTTCATTTAAATACTTTGTAAATAGCTTGGCTAGTTTCATCAGTATTCTAAATTAATTGAGAATATTTTTCGATACTTCTTTCCAAACTGAATCCTGGACCTTCTTGAAGCTTCTTAAATACTTGCTGTATTGTCATATTGACACTCACTTTTTCCTTCATTTTAGATAAATTCAGAATAAGTAAACAGTAATTGTATAGTATGTTGAAATCCACAAGGACAATTCTAAATAATTTCATCCACACATAAAGTTAATCTTGAAGGAAGCATATTGGATATAATTTTGTATTCTTGACAATAGTGTTATTGCTTGATAAGTGCTACAGTCTATTTTATTGCCCTCTCTATGATAGAATAGTTTCCACTACTGTGGTGTAGCTGCTTATAAATGCTGTCCTTTACATCAGTTTTATCCTCCATTCAGGCTTGCATATTCAGAACTAGTGTCCTCTTAGTATTATTATATATGACACCATATCACTAACAGGCTCTTCCTGCTTTAACTGCTGATCTCCCCCTTCTATCTGAAAAGTCCTGTCTCTAATTCCTGATTCTTACTCATAGTGCCATTTTTAATTTAATTTAATTTGCACAGTGGGGGGTGGAGTCCAGTTGGGTCCACTCGACATGTCGGCCACTGATTGGCCTATTGTGCCTATCCTGGGTGATTACAATGATGGAGCAATTGGTGGAATGAGTCAGAGTCACGTTGCAACTGATGGTCAGTCAGTCTGTCTGTCTTTCTTTTGAATGAAAGTTACTGTCTTGGCCATGTGTAGCACCCTCTCTGATGAGAGGTCGGGTCTGTCATTTGTTAGTCAGTCTGTAGTAATTTGTCCATTGTCTGTATTTACACATATTTACAATATACACTTATTTCTTATATAAATGTATAATATTTACACGGCCTCTGTCAGTCCAGGCTAGGTACAGCAGATTATGCCCTTTCATATATATACATATATATCCTAGTAGTATTTGCTACCATGGCAGTCTAGTCACTTGAACGGTCGTATGCCTGACCGCCGCCAAGTTTAAGCCTCTTATACTTTCTGTGTCGGGCTTCGCCTTGTCCGATGTTGCGAACATTCTCATTATCATGATTTTGTATGACTTCTGCTTGTTGCCTGCATAATTTTGTTATGTAATCATA